CGCGGGGCTGAGGCCACAAAAGCGGAAGAGGCCGAGGGCGGCGGCCCCTCCTTCCTCGTCCTGGTCTCCTCCTGGTGCTGCTGGTGCTTCTCCTCCTCGTCTTCTCGGGCACGCTGCGAGGCGCACGCACCTGTAGCGTCCGTAGACGCGGCCTCCTCCTCCTCATCCTCCTTCTCCTCTTCCTCCTCCTCCTCTCTCCTCTCTCCTCCTCCTCCTGCTCATTCTCCTCCTCATCCTCCTCCTCCTCCTCACCGTCCTCATCCTGCTGTCCCTGCTTCTCGTGCTCTCCCTGCTTCTCGTGCTCTTCATCCTCATCCTGCTGACCCTGCATACAATGATCCTGCTCTCCCTGTCGTGCTGCTGTTGATGCTGCTGCTCCTCCTCGTCCTCCTGCTCCTATCAGTGGAATCCTGGACGATTGGTGCCTCCCGTAGGACCCCAGGGGGGGAGGCTCTCGAGCGCGTCCTGGGGATCTGTCCGAAAGACATGGAAGCACAGCTTCACGCTGTGGGTGCGGGGCAAGCAAGTCCGAGAACCTTCCAGCTCGCACACGTGTGCCAACGTCTGGTGACGTTTTATAGTCGGGGCGTTGACCGAAGGAGCCCTAAAGAAGGAACGAGGCCCATTTTTCCCATAAGTTAGGCATCGATGTCCCATGAAGACAGAGGAATACCCTAGGCGAACTGAACAACAGTCAAGGAACACCAAGCCCCTCCCAAACGAGAAAGGGTCCTTCTATAGCGCCCAGACTGTATGAGTTCCGAAGCTACAGAAGTTGCACCTTCCCTCCTGGTTCTGCGGCGATCAGCGAACTAGGGTGAGCAATATCCCAAACCAGTCCACAACAACTGGCAAAGAAGACGAACCTTACGTGGCACCCCACACTTTCGGATAAGAGTGACGGCGTGGCGGCACGGGAGAGCCGCCCTTGGTGCAGCCTCCAAGTGTAGCACCCACGTGTAGCCCCCAAGAGTAGCACACAACATGTAGCTCGTATTTGTGAGCCCCCAAGTGTAGCCACCAAGGGTCGCTCACATGTGTAGCCCCCAAGTGTAGCGCCCACGCGTAGCTCACAACAGGTAGCCCCCATGTGTAGCCCCCGAGTGTAGACAGCAAGGGTAGCTCCCATGTGCACGACGTAGCCCGCAAACGTAGCGCCCACGTGGAGCCCCCAAATGTAGCCCCCGCGTGTGGACCCCCAGCTGTAGCCCCCAGAGGCATGGCCCAACCACCTGGCCCTCCATCCGTGCGCCCCCCTCACTCTGACAGGACACGGCGTCGTGCCTTGTGCCTGGAGAGACCTGGCAGTTGGATGACAACAGACCCCCAATCGATCTGGACTGCAGTTTCGACGGGTCCCGCCTGCGGCTGGTCACCTTCCTCCCGCCCTCGTGCTACCTCATATTCTTCTTCATCTCCTACCTTTGAAGCCCTGATGGGCTGGGGGCCTACAGTACCTCGCAGGTGCACCACCACCACTCCCACGCATCACGCGAATCCACACGCACTTCATGCATACGGCCTCCTGCTTTTGCACGCGCTGTTCTTGAAAGGCCAACCCTCCTCCATGTTATCCCCCTTCTCCCTCCTGGTCCTCCGCTTCCTCCTCCTCGTCCCCCCGAATCTCTCCGCGCATCCTCTTTCCATCCATCCTCGTCCTCCGCCCGCCGTCCTCCTCCTGCTGTTCCTTCTTAAGCCTCCCCCCTTCTCCCTGTTACTCCTGTTCCATTTATATTCCTACTCCCTACTGCGATATGCGTCCTCCTCCCTCTTCTCCTGCTTCCTGTCCCTCCTCCGACCTCCTTCCCCCCCTCCCCTCCCCCCTCATTCCCGTTTCCTCCTTCCCTCACCCCCTTTTCTCTCAATGCCTCCCTCCTCCCCTCTCCCCCCCTGAGATCCGACGAGGCAAAATGCTGCAACAACGTGAAGAAGAATTCCGAGCAGACCCCAAGACCCCATCGTTCTTCGAGTGTTTCGGGCCAGATCGTTCTGTGAGGGCGGGGCCCGAGACTGGACTGGACGAACACGCCTGGCTCGAACCCAAGAAAATGCCAGTATCTCGGGGTCCTCCTCCTCCTCTTCCCCCTCCTCCTCCACGTCGCCCGCGGTCATAAAAAAAACAGGCCGTCCAAAGGTTGTTGTTTGACGGTCCCAGACAGAGCCCGGCGAGGGCCGCTGAAGAGGCTTAAAACGGCCAGAACTCAGCCGCTCCAGTTTTGTTGGGGTCGGAGTTCTGGGTCCTCCCCCTCTTACGCCTCCGCCTCCTCCTCCTCCTCCTCGTCCTCCTCCTCCGTCCTCCTCCTCCTCCTCCTCTGTTTCCTCTTCCTCCGCCTCCCCCCTCCTCCTATGAACTTGCCCAAACCCCGAAGTCTTTGATGGCAATAAGAAATATGAGTAGAACGAACGTCCGAGATGCTTTCGCACCGTTGCTGCGCTGACCCGAAGGCCCTGAAAGGAATGGGCCAGTGCCGATGGTATGCTCGCTATGCTACAGTCATGCTCTGTTTTCTTACACACGAGGTACCGCGTATATCCCACAATCATGGAAGAGTAATCCAAAAAAAAAAGACAGGAAGAAACCCTCTCTGCAATATGCATTGTGAAATCTAAAAATTCGCTGGAAAGAATCACACACAGTGTAAATATGAACAGCGGACAAACAACTAACACTGCGCTGGCGCGTTGGCTCACTCACTGTCGCCCCCCTTGGGGCAGTCATCTGTTGACTGGTTGTTGTCGTCATGCCTCTCGCTGGGCTCCGTTATCTCCACAGAAACTTCGCCTGCACGCTTGGGGCAATTCATCTTGCGACAGAAAACACTGGTATCCTGTCACACAGTAAGTGGCAATGCTCTGAACGCCGACGACCCGCTGTCGCACCTGCTTGTCGTTGCTGGTCGTCTTGTTGAGGTGGATGGTCGTATCCTTGTCATTGCTGGTCGTCGCTGTCTCCTTTGTTGGCTCGCGCTTGTTACTGGTCTCGATCTGGCACTTCACCCTGGGGTCACCCTGCTGCCCCACACACTCTTGCAAGACGTAGTAGACTTCGGGAATTGCCACTGCGATTCCAATCATCAGGAACGCTAGCGCATCATAAGCACCTCCAGAAAACCACGGGCACTTCACGATCTCGTCGTAGTAGTACCTTTACTCTGTGTTATGGTCGAACTCTGGAGTGTAAGTTGCCGCTGCCTTGCAACAACACGTTGCGAAACCTGCCAACTGCATGAGTGGCGATCTTGCTGACTTGGCAGCTGATGATGTATCCAGCTTGCTCTTCCTGATGGTATCCTGTCGCTCCTCCTTAGTCTTCTGCTTAGTATAGGTAGGGTCGTACTGTCGCTGAAGTCGCCCTGCTCGAAGTTCGCGTGCGAAGAGCTGCCTCGCTGCTAATTTCGTGAGTCCGTCCGCGAACTGCCGCTCGGATGAGACCCACTTCCACTGCGTCTGCCTGCTCGGATGAGACCCATGCGTTCTCGCAGCGCCAGTGCCTCGCTGCCGGCGCGCCTGTCCTGGATTCTGGCGGTGCCCTCCTTCTTGGCTGCGCCGTAGAGTGCCTTGGCGTCGATCCCGAGTGCTGACTCTCCTGCGTAGTGCGTGCTCTCATCGACCGTGACGTTGACATTGTCGAAGATGAGGGCCGCCCAGAATCGCTTCGCACATTTTAGTGCGCCCATGCCTGCGGCTGCTGCTTGGGGTTCAGCATGTAGCGATGACCTGGCTAGCCCCCTTAGCATGAAAGACTTCCTATCAACGACGCAGAAGTCTGAAACCTCGCCGTCGAATACCTTCAGGTGGCACGCCGTGATCACGTCGCCTCCTTGACTAGATCCGTCTTGTCGTACTCCCAAGCTGTGTTCGTCATCGCTGCGAGCACGATGTTGCTGACCATGCCATCCTGCTTCATATTGAGGCCGACATCCGCGTTCTGCATGTAGAACCTTGGCGCCCCGTTTACCTCTCTTGCTGTCGCCGCTGTCGCCGTTGGAAGCTGCTGCGGTGAATGCTGACCGATGCTTGCGCGCGTGGGCACGCTTGCGAACTTGGCCACTCCACAGACCAAGTAATTCTCGAAGGTGGCGCACCTCCTTTGGCGCGAGCGGTCGGTCGTTGTCGCCGCCCTTCTGGTCAATTGTGCTCGGTTTGAGGTTGGAGGCGTAGGGTTGCATCTCGATGTTAACCTCGGTGCCCGTGGAGTGCTGATTGTACCAGTGAGTGGTCTGGTGCAAATCCAATCCCTAGCACTCCATCTTGTCATCCTCGATCCACTTCCGAGACTTGTACTTGCTCATGGCCACCTCGATGATGTTGCTGTAGTTGCTGCCGGGCCTGCGATTGCCTGCTCCGAGCATGTCGGCTACGTTGCATAGGATAAACCCGTCGCAGTTGCCGCCCTTGTCGTAGCTAACGAAAAGACATGGGCCCATGGGGGTGCTGCTTGAGCCCACCAGCCTCGAAGTCGCCAACTGCTCGTTGCCGCCAGCGTCGCGGTGCGCCCACGTGCCCGCGCGTAAGCTCGATCATTTTCATTAGCGTGTCCGGTTCGATGCCCGTGAGGTCTGCAGCGCCCCGTGGCACGTTGGCGTAGAGAACTCGCTCTTGCTGTCCATGTTGTAGGAATGCGGTTGCCACGTCCGCGGTCCACATTCTCCATCCGTTGTATGCCGCCAATAACATAGCCAACTGACGTCCCAATCGCGACGCTGTAGGCGACGCCGCTGGCACCTCGCCGTAAAGCGCGTCTGGAACGTTGAATCCCTGGAGGACTAGACGCGCCTTGGCCCTCGGTGTGCCGTCGTCGTTCTTGGTCCACTTTAGTACCCACTTGCCCATCAGAATGCGCTTGGGGTCTTCGTCTCCGGCAGGCGCATGAAACCCAAACCTCGTTTCCGAAAAAAACTCTTCAAGCTCCTTCCGCTTGCCATCCATGAGCGCTGCTCGCTCGCATGGCGTCACGGTCCTGGTGCGTAGATGTCAATGAGCTTCGCGTCTTTGCCGTC